AACCTCTTTTTTTTTTTTTTTTCCCTTCCCCTCCCCCATGGGTTTCTGTTAAGTTTCTCAGGATCCACATAAGAGTGAAACCATATGGTCTCTGTCTTTCTCTGTATGGCTTATTTCACTTAGCATCACACTCTCCAGTTCCATCCACGTTGCTACAAAGGGCCATATTTCATTCTTTCTCATTGCCACGTAGTACTCCATTGTGTATATAAACCACAATTTCTTTATCCATTCATCAGTTGATGGACATTTAGGCTCTTTCCACAATTTGGCTATTGTTGAGAGTGCTGCTATAACATTGGGGTACAAGTGCCCCTATGCATCAGTACTCCTCTATTCCTTGGGTAAATTCCTAGCAGTGCTACTGCTGGGTCATAGGGTAGGTCTATTTTTAATTTTTTGAGGAACCTCCACACTTTTCCAGAGTGGCTGCACTAGTTTGCATTTCCACCAACAATGCAAGAGAGTTCCTGTTTCTCCACATCCTCTCCAGCACCTATAGTCTCCTGATTTGTTCATTTTGGCCACTCTGACTGGCATGAGGTGATATCTGAGTGTGGTTTTGATTTGTAATACAGTGTTTAAGATATATTTTTCTGTTGGTGTAATTCTAAATGTTAAACCAACTTATAACGTATGAAGTTGTATATTGGCTCCATTTATAGGACCTTTGGATTACTAAAAGAATTGATTTGGAGGAAGTGAAAATTTTTCTCAAACTTTTTATGAGTGCCATATTTTCTTGCAAATTTTGCTTGGGCATTGATTTGGGTATACCTGGCAAAAAAGAAGACTGAGAGTGGAATTTTCCGTTTTTCAGGTTTAACATTGAGATTTTTCATCTAGTGATTTTTGAGTATCTCATTTTAATAACTTATAAGAAGCCTAGCTTATACAAAATTATATATAAGATAAAAAATCTATCTTCCTTGAAACATTTTTGCTTTGTATTTCTCATTACATCTTAGAAAGACAGATAATATGATTTATTTAGTGATACCCAATGCATTAAGCCTGATCATGTTAACTTGTTTTCTGTTCTGCCAACAGATTGATACTAAAATTGGAAGTTTGTATCAATTGCTGACTGTTAGAAATCGTATGTAATGGCAACAGAATTTCTAAAGAGCTGCTGTAGAGGATGTTTCTATGGTGAAATAGAAAAGCACAATTGTGAGTTTGGCTTCTTTTTACATCAACAAACATTTATTTAATATCTTTTTTAAATGTGGCATTTTGTAATATAAAGATAAATGAGAAATATTTCCTGACATCATGGGGGAAGCAGACATAAATGTAAGGCACACCAGGTAAGTAATAAGGTACCCTGGGGCATAAGAGACAGAGAGAAATTCAACCCGGCGGACACCCTGGGACATGACCACTGAGAAGATGGCATTCGGCATGGGAGTCTGAAGAGGACTTCAGCAACTGCGTGGGAAGAAGAAAGTCAGAGAAGGTGAAGATTGGACACGAGGATTAGTAGGTGGATGAAATTGCACAGGCAAAGGCAGGGAGAGAAGAGAACTGTTGAGTGTGTTTGGGGACAGTATACTCCGGCAAATGTTTTAATTCGAATAAAGATAGTTCTAGTTGATGACAATGCATTAAAAAACGCCTTTCACAAATGAATGACTAATGGAGAAGAGACCCATTATTTCATCAAGACCCCATCTTTATGAAGGACTTCTGGAGATTTCCCTTTCTATTTAATGGTCTCTTCATTTTCTTCAGAGTTATGACTGGAACTTTATTTGTCTTTGGCTTTTTCTTGTGTTTCATTGTCTGGAGCATAGCTCCCTAGTATATTTGAATAGGAAGGCTTCTTTTTGCATTAAAACATTTCACAAATTCCTACACAGTAGTAGTTGGACTTTCATCCAGTCAACAGACAATACCACTCATATATAAAGATGAACTCTGGGTGTCCCTTACCTCCCCAGCCTAAGTCACCAGCTTAGGAAACACATATAATTTGAGACCAAGGACAAAATAGGTCACAGAAGCTAATACAGGGAGAGTTGCTAGTGTATTAGGGTAAAAATACATTTTATTTTGTGATTCAGTAAAGATTTTTGGAGACTTGGGAGACCTTTAGCTTCTTTTCGGAATTGCTTTATATATTTAAGACTGATATTAACCACTAGTACTGACAACAAGAATTGCTTCGTTGGCAGTATTTTTAAATGCCTGGCTTTTACTTGAAAGTATTATGGAATTAACTACAAAATAAACTTATTTTCCATCTGTGAATTCTTTTTGTGGGAATGAGTTTCTTTAAAAACTGCTTTTACCATTATGATAAGTTAATATACTTTGGCAATGGTATGCTAATTTTGCAAATATTGCCTGGACAGAATTAATGTAGATTCCAGAAGTGCTTGATAGGACCTAGAAGTGGTAGTTTTTCTATCAGCAGTTTCTTCTAGGAGATTAAGTAAGTACCAAAGCATGGTAACTTTAGATTATTATATATAACTCTACATTCATATTTGTGATTTTTCTTTTTCTTTTCTTTTTTTCTTCTTTTATATGTAGTTTCCACAGAAAGAGACTTTAAAGCAGCAGTCTCAGAATGTCAGAATACCACTGTCTGTGTACCTCCATTGACTTCTGTCTCCGTAAAGCCTCAGGTTGGCTGTACTGAGGATTATTTACTTTCCAAATTACCGTCTGATGGCAAAGAGGTACCATTTGTGGTGCCCAAGTTTAAGTTATCTTATATTCAGCCCAGGGTACAAGGAACTCCTTCACATCTGGAAGAACTGGAAGGTAAACCATAAATGGCAGGATTTAAAAATCAACATGTAGCATTTAAATGCTATTGTTTCTGTTACTTTGTTCTTTCATATGTTTAAAGATATAAAATCCTTTTATATATAAATTTTATATTTTGTTTCTTATATGTTTTGCTCTTTCTGTAGAGGAACTTGATGTATAATATTTTTGAAAGATCTCATTATGAAATCTGATCACATTCAACACATCTGTGTATAGATGTGTCCTTTTTGAAAGGAATCATGTAATATCTCAGTTATCTTTAACACGTCTGGAAAGAAAATGAGGAATTTGTTTTTATTTGATCAGTAAATATAGAAAGCATTCTTAAATTTTTTTTGTTTGAGGATAGTTCTTATTTTCTATCTTCTAAAATGTGGTATAAAGAGAAGAAAGGAAGCAATGGAGTAGTGTTTCTTCACCACTACACTACATGACCCAGTCTCAATAGCCACTTGAATGAAATAGTCATTGGGTAGATTTTGGTTGATGTTGTTAGAGGCCAAGAGAGTAATGGTAAGAAGAAACAACATGTAACTCTTGTATTTTAAAAATAATTTGCTTCAGTCCATTGAAACACTCTCACAGTGTCCCCCCCCACCTTAAAGTTTTATTATGAAACATTTCACACACACAGAAAAGTTGAAAGACTATAATGGTGAATGTCCACCACATAGAATCATAGAATTAATCATAGAATTAATATTTTACCAAAATTAATCACATGTCTGTCTATTGATTCTTCTATCCATTATTAATCCTCTTTGGGGCATGGGTGAAGAACACAGTTCAAAGTAAATTGCAGACATTAATATACTTCTAAATACTTAAGCATATATGTAATTTATTAGAGTTCAGTATCTGTTTATAGTTTTCTTCTTTTTTTTTTTTTTTAATTTTTTTTTTTAACGTTTATTTTTTTGGGACAGAGAGAGACAGAGCATGAACGGGGGAGGGGCAGAGAGAGAGGGAGACACAGAATCAGAAACAGGCTCCAGGCTCTGAGCCATCAGCCCAGAGCCCGACGCGGGGCTCGAACTCACGGACCGCGAGATCGTGACCTGGCTGAAGTCGGACGCTTAACCGACTGCGCCACCCAGGCGCCCCTATAGTTTTCTTCTTTTGATATAAATGTTATACATAATGAACTACCTAAGTTTTAAGTTTGTATTTGTTGAGTTTGGTTAAACGCATCTAACAGTGTAATCTAGACTCCTGCCAAAATCTAGAATATTTTCCAAATAGTCTTTTCTGCCCCATCCTTCTTTTCTTCTTTTTAAAAAAAATTTTTGACATCTATCCATTTTTGGGAGACAGAGACAGAGCATGAGCAGAGGACAGGCAGAGAGAGGGAGATACAGAATCTGAATCAGGCTCCAGGCTCTGAGCTGTCAGCACAGAGCCCAATGTGGGGCTTGAATCCACAAACCGTGAGATCATGACCTGAGCCAAAGTCAGACACTTAACCGATTGAGCCACCCAGGCACCTCCCATCCTTTTTCTCTTCTCATTTTGGGATTCCAATTAGACACATGTTGGACCTTTTTATATTGTTTTATGTGCCTCTGAGACTTTATTTTTTTTTTTTTGCTGTTCAACTTTTTTCCCCCTCTGTCAAGATTGGGTATTATTGACTGTCAGGTTCACTCTTTCCTCTGTCATCTCCATGCAGCTGTTAAGCTCATCCAGTTAATTTTTATTTTAGACATTATATTTTTCAGTTGTTGAATTAACATTTAGTTCTTTTTTTGTAGATTCTATTCTTTTGCTGTGATTTCATTTTCTTTTTTTTTTCATTATTGTGAGCTTATTTTCTCTTATGTCTTTGGACTCTAGCATCTTTGCTAATTCTAACATCTGAGTCACTTAGGTGTGGATTCTGTGCTTTTCTTTTTTGAAAGTGGGTCAACTTTTCATGTTTCATTGTGTATGGAGTAATTTTGGATTATATTCTGGATGTGGGGTGTTTTGTTGTAGACACTTTAGAATCATATTACTCTGAGAAGGTTTTTTTTTTTTTTTAACAGGTGATTAACTTAGACTATGCTGCAAATTCTGGGTCTTTGGTGGCAGCTCTTAGCTCATATTATATTACTCTGAGAGGGGTTTTTTATTTATTCATTTATTTATTTAATTTTTTTTATTAAAAAAATTTTTTTTAATGTTTATTTATTTTTGAGACAGAGAGAGACAGCATGAACGGGGGAGGGTCAGGGAGAGAGGGAGACACAGAATCTGAAACAGGCTCCAGGCTCTGAGCCATCAGCACAGAGCCTGACGCGGGGCTTGAACTCACGAACCGTGAGATCATGACCTGAGCCGCTTAACCGACTGAGCCACCCAGGCGCCCCGAGGGTTTTTTTTTTTAAACAGGTGATTAACTTAGACTATGCTGCAAATTCTGGGCCTTTGGTGGCAGCTCTTAGCTTAGTTTTTGTATCTTTTCTTAAATTGTTAAATTTTTGTTTTTTAATGTTTTATTTTATTTTTTGAGAGGCAGAGCCAGAATGAGCAGGGGAAGGGCAGAGAGAGAGAGGGAGACAGAATCAGAAGCAGGCTCCAGGCTCTGAGTTGTCAGTACAGAGCCCGACGTGGGGCTCGAACCCACGAATGCAAGATCATGACTTCAGCCAAAGTCAGATGCTCAACTGACCAAGCCACCCAGGCACCCCATGTATCCTTAGTTGGGGTCCGTCCCATATATGTGTGGCTCAGGGATCAGCCAGATATTTGAGCAGACTGTATTCACAGAATTTGGAGCTTTCTCCTTTCCAAGATTCCCACCTTGCTTTCTAGCAGCTGTGGTTGCTCTGAACTCCGCCCTCTGGTTCTTCAGGCCAGAAAGAGTGTGGATTTTTCTGTTGGAGTTTATCCGCCCTGTGCAGCACCAACTTTGGCTTGCCCTCAGGCTAATAGTCATTAAAACAGGCGGCCCTGTTCCCTTTCTTCCAAGAGTCAGTGCTCTCCAGAATCTGCACTGCTTTTGATCACTGTCCAGTCCCTTCAGGGTTTTTGTTCATTTTGTTTTTGGTCTACAGTGTACTGTTGTTATCTATAGGAGAGTTGGGTTTGGTAGGAGTGATCTTTTTTCCTTCCTTCGTTCCTTCATTTTTTCCTTCCTTCCTTCGTTCCTTCCTTCCATCCATCCATCCATCCATCCTTTCTTTTTTTCTTTTAGAGAAACAAGGAAAGAGGAACCCTGTGCCTGGCCCACCACCTTGTTTTACACATATCAGTATTATCTCTCACAAACAGTGTTTAAAAGCTTTGTGTCACAGGATACCTTGATAATTGGTCTTTCTCCTTTTCTTGTGCTTGTTAACAGCACTGAGATTAAGCCATACAACAGTTTTGTAATCTGTTTTATTCCTATCACACATTGTGAACATGTTTTCATACTCATTGCTTTTTAATGGCCCCATAGTATTAAATCTATAGATGTCCCATAATTTGTTTAATAAATTTTGTCTTCTTAAAACATTTAGGGTATTTTATGTCTTATTTTCATAATAAAAATGAGAAATACCTACCTAGCAATATGTGATAATTTTTCTTTTGTTTTTTCATTAAATCACTAGAAAACAGATTGCTTTTTGGTTTGAATGAGTGGGAAATTGGTTTACACTTAAATTATAGGCTCAGTGAAGATGTGGTAAAGCCATCTGATTTTTATTATATTGGAGAGAAAATCATTAGAGTCAAGAAAGTATTCTTGGTGCCTAATTATAGAAATCAGACATGCGCAGGTTGTATGTGTATGTGCCTGTGAATGATGGGTTGACAAGGAAATTTTGAGAAGACAGGACAGAGCACTGTCAGTAATGACTAAAATTATGTTTCAAGTATTCGAAGTGTGTTTTGTTTCATTTCTTACTTACTGATGTGTCTGATGACAGCCATAGGTTACTGCTTTGTAACCCAGAGATCCCATCGTTCACATCTTACTGCGCTTGCTCTATGTCATATCTACCTATCCATTAAGAGAATGTGTTTTGAATAAATATTGAAATTTTAAATAGAGCTTTTGAGAGGTGTAAAGTAAATGTTACTTTGAATTTAGTTTTATATTTATAGCACTGTGGTTCTGTAAATTGAGAAACATTCCTTTTGAGCTTTAAAAATAATATCACTGTATACTGTTTGAGAGGAAAATTGGAATTCTGTAAAGGAAAAATGAAATCAGAATATTCTTTTTTAGGTATAGCCCATAAAGGTAGTGAGTCATTTTTGGTACTACTACTCCTGACAGCATATTCTTGTTACCATAAACAGACTTGTAGCAGTGTTTGTGTGCTGAATGATTTAAGGGTTAGCTTATAAGGTGCACAGGCTCCTTAACAAAGCTCTCTGGCATCAGAACCCCCTCTTGGCGCCCCTCTGCCTATGTATTATGCTTGGATTGCACACATAGCTATTTGAACTGGGGTGAGGATAAGATCTCACCTCATAACCCCATATTTTATTTTTCTTTTCTGAACTCAGTGTGAAGCCACCTGTTTTATTGTTTAGCTCAATTCAGAAAATATTGGTTTATACTCTGGGTTCTATTTTAAATGGGACAAAAAGAATGAAAAGATGGCAATAATTTAAACTCTTAAAAACTTTATGCCTCTGTGTTATTTCCAGTGTGATTCTTAACTTTGAAAGGAACTTGATCTATTGTTTTACCCTTTTTAAATTGTGAAATATGCACATGTAGAAAAAAGGAACAACAGAAATATGTAACTCCGTGATTTACTCCAATGCAGGACACGTGTATGGTCACCACTCGAGTAAACAAATACGCACTGGCAGCAACCCAGATATAGTCTTTTGTTTATGATAGGTCCTTTCATTCAGCATTATTTTTGTGAGCTTCACTCAAATTGTTGTCAGTAGCTTCAGTTTTAGTATCTGTACAGAAAATACATTTATTTTCATTTATTATAAATGGCGTGGTATAGTGTTTCTGCATAGCATACAAAAGGTTTTTTATGTAGTCTTTATAGACTACTGTTCATTTTACTGTTAATGGGCATTTGAGTTTTTTCCAGTTTTTGGCCATGACGGATTATAATGCCTCTGAGCGTTATTGTACTCGTCTGTTGGTGCACATGTGCGGGCATTTCAGTGGTGTGTATGTCCCCAAATGGCACTGCCATTTCATAGGGCATACGTCTCCCTCAGTCTTGGTGGAAATTGCCAAACTGTTTTCCATAGTGATTGCCTCCGTTTATATTCCCTCCGGCAGGAGTGCGATCTTGTCAACGCTTGCTTTTATCAGGCTTTTTAGTTGTAACCCATGCTGGTGAGTTTGTAGTGGAATCTCACTGGAGTTTTCATTTGTGTGTCTACCCCATGACTAATGAAATCGAGCACTCACTCATGGTTTTGGCTATTTGGATGGCTTCTCTTCTGAAGTGCCTGCTTGAGGCTTGCAGCCAATTTCTGTTTGGGCTTGCCTTTTTCTTATTGATTTGTGGGAGTTCCTTATACATTCTGGATATAAGCCCTTTGTTGGTTATATGTGTTGCACATAACTTTTCCCACTCTATGGGTGACCATTTCACTCTCTTCAGTGGTCTCAAAAAATGGAAAATTTCAATTTTTAATGTAGTCCAGTTTATTAAAAAATGTTTTTTATAATACTGCTGTGTTGCATTTAAGAAGTTCTTGCCTGCCCTAAGGCTGTGTAAACTTTCTTATAAATTGACTGAAATGTAGACGTTTTATTGGTTTGCCTTTAGCATTTAATTTAGATCCGCAATCCACATGCAATTAATATTTTATGAATTTTTTTTAGTTGGGATAAGGTTGTTTTTTTCTTCTGCATCAATATCCAATTGTCTTAGCACCTTTTAGTGAAAAGACTGTTCTTTCTGCATTCTTATCCAGTGCTGCATTGATTGTAAATCTAATGTCCATAAAAAAGTGTCTCTTTCTGGTCCTCTGTTCTGTTCAGTCTTATTTTATTGTGTACCAGTGTTCTGTTCTTAAAACTCAGTAGCACAGATCTTTCCATCTTGTTTTACTTCTTAAAGTGGATTTCGTTTTTTTTTTTGTTTTTGTTTGGTTATCCTAGGCCCTTTGTGTTTCCATGTAAATATTTTCTAATAATCTTTTTGTTGATTTCTAACTTATTATATCGTGGTTAGAGAGCACACTCTGTGATTTCTGCCCTTCCAAAGAATTACTCTGCATATCTCAGCATGTGGTCAGTTTTTATAAATGTTTTGTGTCTTCATCAAAAAACGATCTTCTTTTTACTTGAAAGATGTTCTTTATGCAAGTAGAAAAATAAAAGGAAACTCAGGGATGCCTGGATGGCTCAGTTGATCGAGTGTCCAACTTAGGCTCAGCTCATGATTTCACGGTTCATGGGTTCGAGCCCCGCGTCAGGCTCTGTGCTGACAGCTGGGAGCCTGGAGCCTGCTTTGGATTCTGTGTTTCCCTCTCTCTCTGCCCCTCCCCCACTCACGCTCTGTCTCTCAAAAATCAACAAACGTAAAAAAAAAAAAGAAAAGAAAAGGGAAACTCAGATTTAAAAAATACAGGAAAATACAGGATTGTGTATAGGGCAAAGAGAAATGCCGCAGCACAAGAGAGAAATTACCAGACTGTCTTGAGAGCAGGTTTCATGGCTGATCCCTGGCAGGATGCTCCATGCAGAGCACAGTAAATAAACATGTGCGGATTTCTATTTTATATCTCAAGCACATGTGATTTAGTGTTACTTGAGGAAAATTTTTTTCTTCCTCTTGTGTTGGATACGCCAGCTGTTAGTTAATAACTTCAAGAAAAGGGTAAAACTGTAGAAACACTTACTTTCAGGATCTGCCAGAGCATCTTTTGGAGATCGAAAGGTAGAACTTTCCAGTTCATCCCAGCACGGAGCCAGCTACGATGTATACAACCCATGCTATAGGTATCAGCACATTTCACCTGATTTGATCCGGCGCCTTCCTCCACGTTCAGAAGCAGCGAGACTATATGGATCAGGTATGAAAATTTTTTGTGTTTTTTCTTTGTAGAATGTAGGAATCAAATAAATGTAGAAATCAAATAAATGTAGAAATCAAATGTAGAAATGTAGAAATCAAATAAAGTCTAAGACCCTGGAAGAGATGATTCTCATGATGACGAACAAAAAATAAGATAGAGAAAAGCAAGGCTTCAGAAGTGATATGAAAAACATTATGGCTTCTCTGTGGTATTCTATCTGATGTAAAAATTGAAAGATTAATGAATTATGTGTATTGAGAGTTCCAAGTTCCATTTTCTTTGTCCTTTTCTGAAAAGTTTCATTTTCAGATTATTTCTGTATTTTATACATCATCTGCCTATTCAGAAATTCTACAACAGGTATTTATTAGCTTTTTCTTTCCTGCTCTGTTCAGTGAAAATGATAAATTTACAAACTCATGATGAGATGACAAATGTAAAGAAAGAAAATAGAAAATGCCCAAATAAGGAGTGCCTGGGTGGCTCAGCCGGTTAAGCATCTGACTTCGGCTCAGGTCATGATCTCATGGTTTGTGAGTTCAAGTCCCACGTCGGTCTTTGTGCTGACAGCTCAGAGCCTGGAGCCTGCTTCAGATTCTGTGTCTCCCTCTCTCTGCCCCTCTCCTGCTCACTCACTCTCTCTCAAAAATAAATAAATGTTAAAAAATTAAAAAAAAAACAAAGTGCCTAAATGATTATAGAATTTTCTCAGTTTAATATTTGAGGACTGTATCAATTTTAGACTGGTATAAATGTACATATCTCATTCATAAAATCCTGTTTTTCAAGACTTTAATGTTATATATAGCTACCTCAACAACTGAATTCAGGGTGAGGTACTGGAAACAAAGCAGAAGTATTTATTTAAATACTTATTTCAGCACTGTGTTAGAATACACAGTATACAGAGTTCCATTCTTTAAGAATCTCCTAATTTAGGAGAGAAGCTAGAAATATAGACTAGAAATATAGGAGCACATGGAATTCAGTATTTTTTTTTAATGTAATAAGTACTCATTAAATAGTTGAATTGCATTTAGCACAGAAGACCTACGTTCTCTTATATCATTCCTATGGGATATAGAATTGAGTAATGAAGCAAAAAGAATGAATATTTCCTGCTTGATAGTTGATGTGGATGTGAAAATGTATTGTTTGATTTATATTGGTTTCTGTTTGGAACAAAAGTAAAATAATTGTAAAAAGTTTAAAATTTTATTAGAAGAGGTTTTTTGTTTTTTTTCTCATGTTTATTTTGAGAGAGAGAGAGAGCGGGTGTGTGCACGCATGTGGGGGAGGGGCAGAGAGAGAGGGAGAGAGAGAATCCCAGCAGGCTCTGTGCTGTCAGTGCAGAGCCCAACTTGGGGCTCCATCTCAGGAACTATGAGATCGTGACCTGAGCCAAAATCAAGAATCAGATGCCTAACCGACTGAGCCACCCAGGTGCCCCGAGAAGACTATTATCTCTTAAATCAATTGCATTAATATTCATGATAGATAGAACTAAACAGAGATTTAGTTTATGGTGAATAAGTAAAATTCCAATGTTTCTTCTTTAATGTAAAGACATTTTTCCATGTCCATTCGTAGTTTGTGATTTGAGGACCAGCAAACTTCCCAGTTCCCCTGGGCTAAGCAAGTCTATGTTTGATCTTACAAGTTCATCCCAGCGGTTCATCCAGGTGAATTATTTATATAAATGTATACGATAATTTATTTTCAAGCTAAAAACTCAGAAATGTGTGAATTACATTAGAAACAACATGTATAAATCTTTTGTAGATAAATCTATGGTAATATCTGAAGAGTTAACACTTGGCATTTCCCATGTATATTATTTCAGGAAGCTCTCAGCTGAATGGTAAAAGGCAGTAGTTTTTTTGTTTTTTTGTTTTCTTTTTAATGAATCTTACGTCTCTTGGTGTACACTCAGGCAGTCTTGAAGGCAGTTGGAATTTAAAATGGTCTGGTTCAAAGTGCTTATTCATTTAACCTTCCTTGTTGATCGTAACTACCTAGTAAATAAAAAATACTATTTCTATTCAGACATAGGGCCTAATTAACATTAACACAGCATCCTCCTATTTTTTAAATGGAATAACTTTTTGATGTTTAAAAAAGTTTCTTCTAAAAATATAAGTAAATTGTAATCATTAAAAACTGGAAGATAGAGTTAAGCAAAGTGAAAAGACAAATCACCTATATTCCTGTAACTGAGAATAAAAGCGCTATGAAAATATTGTTGCATATACTTGCGGGCTTTTTTTCCATGTAAATGTATATGCATACATTTTATTCAAATGGAAGTGTATTCTAAATAATCCTTAGCATCCTCAGTGGAGTTAATATTTTACAGAATTAATTCTTCATAGCATCAACTTTTTAATGTGTATCAGAATTGGTTGGAGAACTTGTTAAAATACAGATTGCCAGGCCTCACCCCCAGAGCTTTTGAGTACCCCTGCACTGGGGCCGGAGTTTGTATTGCTAACAAATTCCTGGATGATGTTGATGTTGGTGGTTCAGAGGGACTGTGCTTTCATAACCACTACCTTGCAAGTTTTTAAGTAACAGGGCACTTCCAGATATATTCTTATTTTTACTTGTACTTTCAAGTATGAACGTAAACGGTGATCTCTTCCTCCTTATTATAAAACCAAACCCCAGACAGCAAAGGCTTTCCCCATGTATGATCTAGTAAGCTCTTTAAGACTTTCCTGTTAACACACACACAAAGCTTTTCTTCCTCTCTACTATCTGACCAGTGACACTGTTGATGGTTAGCATGCAGTTTGATGCTGGGGGTGTGGGGAAGTTGGGGCATAAGTTTCAGATCGTTGAACTTTGCTGTGTGATATCTGACTAGAGACCAATTTTATCTGTAGAGACATGATTCCCTGTCCAGTGTGCCTAGCAGCTCTTCTTCCAGGAAGAACTCCCAGGGGAGTAACAGAAGCCTGGGTAAGGAGTAAAGTACCTTCTTTTTATATTCTGAGGGGAATGAATTCTACCGAGTCGTAATTTGAACATACATTTGATAAAGTAAAAAAGGACAACTCTAGATGGTTATATCCATGTTACCGGCATATGAATACTCAGATTAGATGGCCCACTTCTTGTGTTCGGGCATGAATGCATCTTTAAAAAAGGCATAGCAGTTGCACACCTCTTGTTTGTTTGATATAAAGTATACTAGTGAAGGAACTTCCCGCAGCATATAGGATTAAAGCCATATCATTGTTTTGTGGGAAAGTTTATCTTAGTTTTAACTTAAATCTCTCACGCTATACTTGGGTTAAGTTCTTAAGCCAGGCACTTTTTACAGCAGGCCTTCCCCTGCTATAAAACGTTGATGTGTCATTTTTGTCTTATTAAAGTGGTAACTTAAAAGAGTAATTTTGCCATTTTTCAGTTGTACTCTTAAAATTGGATTGTATTGGGGAGCCTGGGTGGCTCAGTCGGTTGAGCGCCCGACTTCAGCTCAGGTCATGATCTCGTGGTCCGTGAGTTTGAGCCTTGTGTCGGGCTCTGTGCTGATAGCTCGGAGCCTGGAGTTTACTTCGGATTCTGTGTCTCCTTCTCTGTCTGCCCTTCCCCTGCTCATGCTCTGCCTCTCTTTGTCTCAATAATAAATAAAAACATTAAAAAAATTGGATTGTATCAAAGCATGATTAGATTAGAAGGATTGTATAACATTTCAAATGTCCCTGTCCTTTTGCAATTCAGATACAATTACTCTGTCAGGAGATGAAAGAGATTTTGGGAGATTGAATGTGAAAGTGTTTTATAATTCTTCAGTAGAGCAGATCTGGATCACAGTTTTACAGGTAAGTTAACTTAGTTAATACCAACTTTGCTTACAAAACTGAATATTTTCACTATAAGCATCTACTGTTTCTCTCTCTGGGGAATGGGACAATACTTTCTTTGGAATTTAGGATTCTGTAACATTTTGCATAAAACTGTATTTAATAAAGACTAAAGAAAATAAATCTGTAGGTATGATGGAATTATGGTTTTAACCTCAAGAAGGAGATTGATATGATGTCTAGAACATTAAATGTCAAATTATTTCAATGTAGATGAAATGAGAGCTCAGTAGATTAGTTTACTTTTATAGTTTGTATTTAAGTCATTAACTCAAGAAATACATCAAATATTTGTATTGTCAGAGTCCTTTATAAAATCTGTACTTTTAATTTTTTTAGTGCAAAGATTTAAGTTGGCCTTCTAGTTGTGGAGACACTCCTACTATTTCTATAAAAGGAATACTAACATTGCCCAAACCAGTGCATTTCAAATCTTCAGCAAAGGAAGGCTCTAATGTAAGTGGCTGTTTTTGTTTGAATTTCTTTTTATGGGTTTTTTTTCCATATTTGTCACTATAAACCACTTAAAGAATTGGAATAAGAAAGTGTTTTTTTGGGGGAAATTGCTAATTATATACCTCTTGCTTTTTAAGGACAATTTTGAGCCTTAAAAATATTTGATACTTCAGTGCCCAATATTAAGATGTATTTAAAAAGAAAATCTTTCTTTTTTTTAAGTTTATTTAATTTGAGAGAGAGTGAGAGAGTGAGCTGGAGAGGGGCAGAGAGAGAGAGAGAGAGAGAGAGAGAGAGAATCCCACGCTGCTCCACACTGCCAGTGCAGAGCCAGATGTGGGACTTGAATTCCCAAACCACATGATCATGACCTGAGCTGAAATCTAGAGTTGGACGCTTAACTGACTGAGCCACCCAGGCACCCCTAAAAAGAAAATCTTAATCACTAAAGTATGTACAAGATAAACAATATCTAAGAAGACTGTTTTTCTTGTATGAAAGGAAAATGAATGTCTGTATTTTTATCGTCCCTCCTCCTACCCCGCTTTGGCTTTGTGAAATAATTGCTTGATTGCAATAAATTTCTTTTAAATACTTCCAGCTATTATAACTGGAAGACTTATCCTGACTTTGGTTTTATAGATTTCAGATTTCACATTAGTTTAAATACATCTTCATTTTTGTCTCCTGATACATGTTGAGAGGTTAGTGTTTTTCCATGCAAATGAAAGGTGTTTTCTGTAAGTACATATAATTTAAAAATAAGGTTTCTCAAATGACTAATACCATGAAAAAATTTACTCTCACTAGTAATTATAGAAATATGAATTTAAATTGCATATTGCTTTCTCTCTTTTCTTCTTTGCTTATTAAAATGAAGAAAAAAATTCATAAATACTCTAGAATATAGAACTTTCTGGAAATTATTTTGACAAAACACATCGAAACCTTGAAATATTTATGTGCTTTTACATAGTAATTCTACTTGGAATGTGTTCCATGGAAGTAGTTTAAAAGGCAAATAAAAAATGTGTAAAGTATCCTTGGCAGTTTTGTTCATAGGGGAAAAGTTGGAAACTATCTACATGTCTTAATAGGGGATTGGTTGAGAAAATTCATGGTATATATACCATGTGTATTAGTTTCCTCTGGTTGCTGTAACAAAGTACCACAAACTGGATGGCTTAGAGCAACGGAATTTTCTCTCCCACAGTTTTAGAGTAAGTCTGAAATCAAGATGTCATTAGTGTTGGTTCTTTCCTTCAGCAGTGAGGGAAAATCTGTCCATGCCACTCTCCAAGCCCCTGGTAATGGTTAGCAGTCTGAGTCATTCCTTGACTTTGTTTCATGCTTCCATCTTCCCATGGCATTTTCCTTCTGTCACTGTGTCTTCATGTGGCTGCCTTCTTACGAGGACTCTAGTTCTAGTAGATTGGCAGTCCTACTCCTACTCCAGTCCACCTACTCCTGGATGACCTCACCTTAACGTCACTAGCTACATCTTCAAAGACCCTATTTCCAAATAAGGTCACATTCTGAGTTACTGGGGGTTAGAACTTCAGCATATCTTTTGGAGGCCAAATTTAAACCATAACACTGTGTGACAGAATACTGGGCAGCTGTAGCAAATTTTTAGGTAGAATTTTTAAGGACATGGAAAAATGCTTTTAAGTAAAAAGACAGTAATCAAAGTTGGTTTATATGTATTAGTATCTCACACTGAAAATATGCCTTTTAGAAAGTCTAGATGGAAATAAATTTTAATTGGTTATGATGCTGACACTCAAAATGAATCCTTCCTGAATTAAACAATTTCACTTTCTGATTTTCAAATGAAACTGTGAGTTAACTTAGGAAAAGTTAGGAAAAATTGTTCTTATATTAAAGTTGGCATGGGATCTTACTTTTAAGATTTATTACTATTTATCAACTTGTTTACCTCTATTATAGCAAAATGTGAAGTCAGCCAACACACTTATTACTTCATGTGTAATCTCATTGCATCTCAATTTAAAAATTAAACATTTTATGTATACTATATTGTTGGTGTGGTCCTGTGGTTGAGACTCTGAGAGAAAAAGATAGCTCTGGTGGCTGGGAGGCTCTCAGAAACAATTTTGACTATACAGACATAAGCAATTACAATAAAAGTGAAAATTTGGGCACCGTATCTAAGATACTGATTTTAGTTACCCAGATCAGATATCTTGTCTTTTCAAAAGGAAAAAAAAAAAAAAAACCAACAAAAACTCCTTTTCAAACGAAAGCAGTAAAGATGGGAAGAAGGAAGTGTATAGCGAAAATCAGTCTAGTGTCAAGAAGATGTTAGAATAACAAAATATTAAAAGTAACAAAAAGAACATTTGGGAAAATATTCTGAGCATGAAAAACACTGACTTGCTGCCTGGACTGGATGCTAATGAGAGAAGATAGGACTTTTTAAGGAGATTGATTTTCAGATTGGAGAGAGTGGAGCAAACATCACTAAAAGAGAAATCAAATCCCAAGGTAGGTGGGAAGAACATTAGAAAAAGAATAGAAATAATTTAGGTCTCTTAATGCGAATGGATAGATTTGGGGTACTTCCTGAGAGAGCACATGTGAGATTCTTGAGCCACTGTTGAAAAATTGCGGTGGATAGCAGGAATGAGGCCCCAGAACCAAAGATGGAAAACAAACCCAGTTTTCAAAAAGGAGAAAAGCTATATTCTGCTAAAGTTGGTGTTGATATTGACCTGAATCCCTTAGTAATTAAAAGGATAATTTGTGACTTCCGCCCTTTTGGCTCCCTGAGCAGCGCCATGGTGGTAGGCAAGAACAAGTGTCTTATGGAAGGTGGCAAAAAGGGAGCCAAGAAGAAAGTGGTTGATCCATTTGCAAAGAATGGTATGATGTAAAAGCACCAGCAATCTTTAATAGAAGAAATATTGGAAAAACACTAGTCATGAGAACTCAAGGAAGCAAAATCACATCTGATGGCCTTAAGGGTCGTGTGTTTGAAGTGAGCCTTGCTGATGTGCAGAATGATGAAGTTCCATTTAGGAAATTCAAGCTAATTACTGAAGATGTTCAGGGAAAAAACTGCCTGACTAATTTCCATGGCATGGATCTTACCTGGGACAAAATGTGCTCCATGGTCAAAAAATGGCAGACCGATGATTGAAGCTCACGTTGATGTCAGGACTACCAATGGGTATTTGCTTCGTCTCTTTTGTGTCGGTTTTACTAAAAAACACAACAATCAGATTCGGAAGACCTCTTATGCTCAGGACCAACAGGCCCGCCAAATTCGGAAAAAGATGATGGAAATCATGACCCGAGAGTTGCAGACAAGTGACTTGAAACAAGTGGTCAATAAATTGATTCCAGACAGCATCAGAAAAGACATAGAGAAGGCTTGTCAGTCTATTTATCCACTCCCTGATGTCTTTGTTAGAAAAGTAAAAATGCTGAAGAAGCCCAAGCTTGAATTGGGAAAGCTCATGGAGCTTCATGGTGAAGGTACTAGTTCTGGAAGAGCTACTGGCGATGCTAAAGTTGTGCTAAAGTTGAATGAGCTGATGGATATGAACCACCAGTCCAAGAATCTGTTTAAAATTCAGACATTTAATGGTGACAAATAAAAAATCTTATTTGGGATGTTTTAGATAGATAGATAGATAGATAGATAGATAGATAGATAATTTGTGACATTTAGAAAGGCAGTATCCAGGATAAATTCTGGAAAAACAACTCATGGTCATTGTCATCTTAATTTACACTGAAAGATATTTTTTTGTTGTAAAAAATTAGATCTTCCTTTCCTAGATTACAAAATGTTATTTTCATTTCTTTGGTATTGCCATATCATCTCTTTTTCTGTCCTTTTATTTATATATTTTATATTATTTTCCTGCATTTTTTTTTTAGAGTATTGAATTTATGGAAACTTTTGTATTTGCTATTAAACTCCAAAGTCTACAAACCGTAAGGCTTGTATTTAAGATTCAAACCCAGACACCCAGGAAGAAAACCATTGGAGAATGCTCACTGTCACTCAGAGCTCTTAGCACACAGGAGATGGATTACTCTTTGGATATAACGCCACCTTCAAAAATTTCTGTAAGTGATAGTAGTATCACTATAAAAGTGTTTTATACTTTAAGAATTATTTTGTGGATGACCTTCTGTTGGAGTATAACTTGAACACTCTAGAATATATTAGAGGATCGGGAAGGCTCTCAAGAAGCAATAATAATAGTAATAATAATGAAGTCATTGTTTAATAAGGCATTTTACATAAGTGATAAAAGGTTAACAGAGACCCTTTGCTTTCTCCATTGAAAAATAACCTTACGGTTACCTTCTCCTAGGACATTTTTATTAATGTTTCATATTTTATACTTCAGGAAAATAATCCTGAAGTTAGGAATCATTTTATTAAGTTTTTAAAAATTTCTTTTATAGCTGATAATTTAGGAAGAGCAAGAAAGAAAGTTGGGAATCATAAATTCCAAATTCAAACAAGATTGCCTTAAAAAAAAAAAAAATTCTGTTGGGGCACCTGGGTGGCTCAGTTGGTTAAGCATCTGACTCTTGATCTCAACTCAGGTCTTGATCTCAGGTCATGAGTTTGAGCCCAGCACTGGACTCCAGGCTGGGTGTGAAGCCTACTTAAAAAAAAAAAAAAAAAAAAAAAAAAAAAATGCCTTAAAAGAGATTAGGAAAGTGATTTTAATCATGAGCAAGCTCAATATCTATCCATATATTGGGTAGAATGGAGGTTCTTAACAGCTAGTTTGTCTGTTTTTGTAAAGAACTTGATTATCTGTAGTGCTGATTGATTTTTGAGACCTGATAATTTGTTTCTCTCAACTAGCCAGCTGAACACTATCTTAAAATTGTTTAGAAATCCCTAATAATTTACTTATATAGTTTCTATGTCAGGATAACAGTTATAGAAATTTTTTAATCTTTAAATCTTTATAAGCTTTTATAAGGTCAAGCCTGTATGTAATTTTAAATTTATATAGGATTTATATTTTACCTGCCTTCAAAAATATTTAATGTGACTTAAAGTGGTTCTTATCCTGGCTACACATTAAATCAGAATTTGGTGGGGGGTGGAGAGGGTGGGGGGAGATGGGAGGTGGGAGGCCAGAATCATCTATAGTTTTTTTTTCTATAATTTATTTATTTTTTGTAATTTACATCCAAGTTAGCATAGAGTGCAACAGTGTGTTCATGAGTAGATTCCTTAATGCCTCTTACCCATTTAGCCCATCCCCCCTCCCATAACCCCTCTAGCAACCCTCTGTTTGTTCTCTGTATTTAAGAGTCTCTTGTTTTGTCCCCCTCCCTGTGTTTATGTTATTTTTGCTTCCCTATGTTCATCTGTTTTATATCTTAAAGTCCTCATATAAGTGAAGTCATATGATATTTGTCTTTCTCTGTATAATTTTGCTTAGCATAATACCTTCTAGTTCCATCCACATAGTTGCAAAGGGAAAGATTTCATTCTTCTTGATTGCCGAGTAATACTCCATTGTATTTGTATCCCACATCTTCCTTATCCATTCATCCATCGATGGACATTTAGACTCTTTTCATACTTTGGCTATTGTTGATGGTGCTGCTATAAACATTGGGGTGCGTGTGTCCCTTCAAAACACATACCTGTATCTCTTGGATAAATACCTAGTAGTGCAATTGCTGGGTCATAGGGTAGTTCTATTTTTAATTTTTTGAGGAACCTCCATACTGTTTTCTAGAGTGGCTGCACCAGTTTGCATTCCCACCAGCAGTGCAAAAGAGATCCTCTTTCTCCGCATCCTCACCAACATCTGTTGTTGCCTGAGTTGTTAATGTTAGCCATTCTGACAGGGGTGAGGTAGTATCTTGTTGTGGTTTTGATTTGTATTTCCCTGATGATGAGTGATGTTGAGCGTTTTTTCATGTGTCGCTTGGCCATCTGGATGTCTTCTATGGAGAAGTGTCTATTCATGTCTTTTGCCCATTTCTTCACTGGATTATTTTTTTGGGGGGGGTGTTGAGTTTGGTGAGTTCTGTATAAATTTTGGATACTAATTCTTTATCTGATAACGTCATTTGCAAGTATCTTCTCCCATTCTGTCAGTTGCCTTTTAATTTTGCTTATTGTTTCCTTCACTGTGCAGAAGCTTTTTATTTTGATGAAGAAGCATCTGTAGTTTTTAGAAGCTTCCCAGGTGATTCTATTCTGCACTCTGGCTTGAGAACCAGCGAATTAGAAGGGAATTAAAGTAGAGATTAAAAAATAAAAAAGGATTTCTATAACTGATCAAGAAGTGAAATTTTTAGATAGATCTTTCTTGTCTATTATTTTCTGTCTCCATCTCCAATGTGTTCTCTGTACGGTATTTATTACAACTTAGAATTCAGTTACTTGGTCTAAACAAAACAAGTCTCAAGCTTCCATCCATTTTCTTTATGTTTTACTGTGTTCTTAGCAAGGACCTAATTATATTCTTGGCATTGACCGTTGGTACGTAGGTAGGAATGAAAGAATAAATGGTTAAACGGAAGCATGCTATATTAGATTATTTTTATATTCTGTTTAAATGTAGGAAATTTGCATTGTAACTGTGACAAGGAGTTTGTCACTTGCATCTTTGAAACTAGGTTTGGTAGACCTTAAGCTGCAACCATAGTTTACAGAAGGCACAAAATATATTATTCAAATGGATAATTCATTTACTAAAACTTTAAAGACGAATAGAGTATATCAGAAGATAACTCAGCAAAGGTATTTTCTGGAGAATTGAGTTGTTATAATCTTACCTGACTTGGAGAATCTGAATGAATGATTTTGGCTAAGTTTCTACCAAATTACTTCATGTTTTAGAGGTCTTGCAACAATTGTGTATCTGTTGTGTGTTAGGTCCTAGGGGTACAAAAAGATTGATGGCCTGAAAGAAGAACTTAGGGGCTATATTGGACCAGTGGGTTTATATTAGTGTGAATGTTTCAGATTATTGGCCAATGCAAAAATAGTATGCTTTGTTTCCTGTGTCGAGGAGGAAAATTGATATTCTAGTTGACAGAGCCGGACTTTCACACCCATCCTCCACGGTGACAATTATGCCACCACACACAGCAGAACTTTCATGTAGAGCTAACGTCTTAGTAGAGAGTTCTTGACCCTGACAAATAGTAACGTAAGTATTTATTTGAGAACCCAAGTCTCTGTGTTGAATAATGCGGAAAAGATGAGATTTTTATTTACAGAGCCTTACATACAACTGATGTGGTGTTAGGTGATTTAATGCTCACACTCAAATCTATGAGCTTTCTGCTCTCGGTATCCCTACTGAGGGCACTGACACACGAAAGCACTTGCATGATTTCCTCCAGCCAGTAGTTGGCGAGCCAGGATTCGAACAGAAGCATTGATTCCAGGACCAGCTCTACCATATGTCACTTCCCCCCAAGAAGATATTCTCAGAGATCACCAGATCATGGTTTTCTCTAACTATGCTTTTCACTTTCAACAACGATTCAAGGAAGGCTTGGAAAGTTTTCTTTTCTTTAAAAAAGGATCCATGGGGCGCCTGGGTGGCGCAGTCGGTTAAGCGTCCGACTTCAGCCAGGTCACGATCTCGCGGTCCGTGAGTTCGAGCCCCGCGTCAGGCTCTGGGCTGATGGCTCGGAGCCTGGAGCCTGCTTCCAATTCTGTGTCTCCCTCTCTCTCTGCGCCTCCCCCATTCATGCTCTGTCTCTCTCTGTCCCAAAAATAAATAAACATTGAAAAAAAATTTAAAAAAAATAAAAATAAATAAAAATAAATAAAAAAGGATCCATGTTGCAGGATTAGAGATCACGTATCTTCCATAGTTTTGTGCCCATTAAAAATGCACTTTATACGTGCTAATTGATTGGAATTTTATTTTATTTTATTATTTTTTAAAAGTTTATTTATTTTGGGAGAGAGAGAGCATGCACAGTGTGCACGAGCTGGGGAGAGGCACAGAGAGAGAGCGACAGAGAGAATCCTAAGCAAGTCCTGTGCTGTCAGCTCAGAGCCTGACGCCATCCTCAGTCCCACAAACTGAGATCACGACCTGAGCCGAAGTCAAGAGTTGGACACTTAACTGACTGAGCCACCCAGGTGCCCTGATTGGAATTTTAATTTTTTGGTTATAGGGACATTGAAAACCACTTTGAATAGTTTTTCACGATCTGAATTAATATCCTGGAACATAATAAATAAGTTGAATTCAGAAATGACACTGGCAAATTAGAAATAGCAAACCTTTGCCAAGTGCTGCTTTGTTTTGTGAGAGTGAGCTCTACAAGTGTGTAACACTAAGGGAAGTTTTGCCACCTTTAGGTGTTTTCATAAGTGTTGTTACATTGTGGACACAGAGCCATAATAACAAAAAAATTTTACCCATAGTTTCCTTGGTGTTTTGTAAATAATAAATAGCTGTCGTTGTTTTTTTAATGTTTATTTATTTATTTTGAGAGAGCACCAGCAGGGGAGGGGCAGCGAGAGAGGGAGAGGGAGAGTCCCAAGCAGGCTCAGCACTGTCAGCACAGAGTCTGACATGGGGCTCCATCTCACAGTTGGAAGATCACAACCTGGGCCAAACTCCGGAGTCGTGCTCTCAACTGACTGAGCCACCGAGCACCCCAAGTAACTGTATTTAATCTATTTTTTTAAATTCCAAGAACAGCAGCATTTTTTTAAATAAGAAAGAGCTCCGTTTTATATATGGCTACCAAAAAAGATTTATTAATCCATTCTTAAACTCTGATTACAAAAGCAAAAATAGTACTTTCACTTTTTTATTAGAATTCAGCATTTGTTGCCAAAATAGACAAGTTTGATCATTTTTTAGACTTTTCAAGGGGGAGTCTAACCTTGACAGTTGAGTTTATACTTTAAAGTGGTTCACTTTTCACTGCCTCGCTCTCGATTTATGTCATGACCAATTTAATTTTAAAATTTTTATTTATTTATTTATTAAATATAATTTATTGTCAGATTGGTTCCATACCACACCCAGTGCTCATCCCAATAGGTACCCTCCTCAATGCCCATCACCCACTTTCCCCTCTCCCCCACCCCCAGAAACCCTCTTAAATCCAGGTATAATTGGCATACAGTGTTACATTAGCTTCAGGTATACACCATAATGATTCAGTGATTCTGTACATTACTCTGTGTTTACCACAGTAAGTGTAGTTACCATCTGTCACATGCAGTGCTATTATAGTATTCCTGACTATATTCCCTATGCTATACTTTTCATCTCCATGACTTCTTTATTTTATAACTGGAAGTTTGTACCTCTTAATCCCCTTTATCTACTTCACCCATCCCCTCACTCACCTCCCTCCTGGCAACCACCAGTTGGTTCTCTGTATGTGAAAGTCTGTTTGTTTGTTTTGTTTTTTAGGTTCCACATATGAGTATCATCATACAATATTTGTCTGTATCTTATTTCACTAAGCATGATACCCTCTGGGTCCATCCACGTTGTAGCACATGGCAAGATCTCATTCTTTTTTATGGCTGAGTAATATTCCACTGTGTGTGTGTGTGTGTGTGTGTGTGTGTGTGTGTGTGTGTGTGTGTGTAGACACACGTACAGATCTTTTTAATCCTGGCATGAGCAATTTTAAAATGCCGAATCCTGTTTTGAAGGAAACGCCCATGATTCAGTCAATGGCAGATACATGGAAAGGTTCTTTTTCAGTGAGTTATGTGCTGATGGTTGGGGAATACTCGGTAATTATCAAATACAAATCTCTTCATCAAGTGTCATTCAGCCATTCTGTAGCTTTGTTGGAATCCATACTCACAAAGATTTTTGTGCCTGTCTGTGCTGGGCCCCAGGGAGGTCTGTTAACCTGATGTTCTTTCTTCTCAACGTGAACAGTAGTATTTTTCTGTTTGGATGACTTTATGTTTCTCTCCTTGATTTTTTACTCCAAGGACCTTGAAATCCACATAAGTAGGCTGGCTTGTGTTCCATCTCACGGATTACTAACTTTCTTCTTTAGTCAGTGCTACAGAAGAGCACATTTTAACTTTTTCCCCTCTGAGTCTCCTTCATTTCATTGTTTGCCTCAGGTTTTCTTTGACCTTTTCCTTATTATTTACTGCCTCCGTCTCTTTCATTAGCTTCCTTTTTGCCAACTTTCTTGGCTGGCTCTCATTCAGCATAGTAATTCAGCTCTTAACCTACACATTTATTCCTTGTAGTAATCCTTTGTCTTCAAATCTTCTAATCTGGGTAGCATCTACTGCTGTGTCTATAGTCAGAAAAAATAATGGTGGTTCTCATATATGAAGCTTTTCATTATAGTTTATGTATTCTTAAAAACAATTCAAATGACTAAGTGTTTTGAAAGTGGCCTTTTTTTGGTGTTTATTTCATGGACATTTTCTTTACAAAAACTGCTGAAGAATTTCATTTGTTTTCAATTTGAAATATCTTTTGACCTCCCTGGTTTTGAAGGATCAAGTATGTAGGTTTAACTTGGCTTTTCAGAATCCGTGAAAGTGAGTACCTCATATTTACAGAATCCATGCATTTATCCTAACCATATTTTCTATCATAATTTTGTGTGTCAATAAAAAGCATCGCTTTCAAAACTTAAAATTGTACCTCTTTGCTTTTGAATTTTTGAAATATCTCCAAAACTTTATTCTTAATTATCAAATGGCACTTTTTTGATACCTAGGTTTGCCATGCAGAACTTGAATTGGGGACTTGTTTTCAAGCAGTAAATAGCAGAATTCAGTTACAGATTCTCGAGGCACAGTACCTTCCAAGCTGTTCATCACCTCTCACTTTGAGTAAGTAGATCTGTGGTTCAAAGTGAAATCTTCAGAAAATATTAGTCAAAGCTAGTTTTTCCTATATTTCTTAACAATGGAAATTAAAATCATACTTTTGTTATTTAACTTAAATACTTACCTTTTAACTTAAAATTACTTTATTGGATTTCAGATTTTAGCCATGTGTCTACTCTACTCCATAGTCTCTTAGATTTTTATCCATTTGATGCTATTCCTTATTTGGGTCATTAGTTTATATAGGTTGAGTGTCCAGAGGACTGTCAGATATATTTCACCAGCCTAGATAATTTATCTTTTCTCTAGGTCTATGCCCATTGTTGAGTATTCTGCTAACTAGAAACTTAATTCAAAAAACCCCCAGAAAATATCACATATAAACCTTGAAACACTTTTCCTTCCCTGTGCCTTTGGGCACCAGAAGGGGCTCTGATGTTTTGGTTGCGTAGGCCTGGTTTATATGGCTGTTCCTAGAGCTGGAGGTGTGAAGTCAGTCCTCCCTAAGGGCTAAGAGTGGGGTAAGAGTGCTCCTTCATTCGGCTACAAGAAGAGAAGATCCCTGCAGGTGGGCAAAAAGCAGTGGATGTCTGAAAATAAACGCACGCGACCATTCAGCTCAGGAAGTTAAGAAAAAAACAGCAAATACAAAGGAAAGTAGAGGTAAGGAATTAAAGGTAAAGCCAAAGTTGATAGATACGGAGACAACAGCAAAAGACATAATCAATAAAGCCAAAAACTTTTTCTTCGAAAAGGTCAGTAAAATAGACAAACCTACAGTAAATTGGATCGAGCAAAAAATAAAGAAAACAGGCACAAGGAAGAAGATAACATTTCAAATTTGAAGGTGGTTCAATAATAAATAAGACAACGCCATTTATAACTAAATCAATTCATTTGAACATCTCTGTAAAATAATTGAGTTTTGGAGAAGAAAATTGTTGAAATTCACTGCAAAAGAGGGAGAGCATCTGAATAAAATGATAACCATGTGTAGGTAGTTAAAGAATTTCCTCTAATAAAAGCACCAGGCCAAGATGATTTTACTGGTGGATTCCACCAAACTTTCAGGGAACATTTAATTCCTATTTTATATAAGCTGTTCCAAAGCATGAGAAACGATGGAAAAAGTAACTTTATGAGGTTAGCATATTCTCGATATCAAAACAGAAAGGATAGTGCACACAAAAAATAGCTATAGACTGTTACCACTTATGTAGATAGATGGAAAAATCATAAAATAAAAATAAGCAAATAAAATCTAACGTGGTATTAAAAGAATAAATTACCAGGGCTACATAGGGTTAATATTCTAGGAAATAAGGACATCAGTAGAAATCCACAGATGGAATTTATTTATGACATTAATAGGGTCTTTCTTTGATCAAAACTGCTATCAGGATTATCATAATCTCCATGTTGGAAATCTGATGGTCCGTCTAGGTCCTCACTTGGCAGCTCCCTTTTTTCTGGAAGTTCCCTCCTCACTCTCTTGCTGCCCTGGCCACCTCAGCTGTATCCCGTGACTGCTCAAACTGGTCAGACTGCCCTCTCTGCCTGAGCTGTAGGGACCACGTGTCAGTGAGACGGGGG